CCCCAAAACCCCAAAACCCCAAAACCCCAAAACCCCAAGATATTCTGACAAATTGAAATTCATAATTACTCAATTGTAGTGAACTTCTGCATTTTGACAATCAGGAAGGAGTAGACCTTTCTAGGGAGCCAGAACATTTGGATTCTTGAAGGAATCAAACCGGTCTCTTTCTGTTTGATCATCTTTCTAATGAGATAGGTATCGCTGAATTCTTGCTTCACAGTGCTTGAGAAAACTTTCAGACTCTTTTTAATCTTGCTTTTCTCCATTTTAGCTTTAAGTATTTCTAATAATTTCTGATTCGAAGGAGGTGAAGCTTCTACACTGACAAGAACTAGGAAGGGGAAGAACAAAGCAAAGATTCCTGAATTGACTAACCCAGGATACATATACAACAGAATTGTGAAGATAAAGCCAAATCCGAAGTAATATGCCCAATTTGTCTCGAAAACCTGTATGCTTTCCATTGTGTTAAGTCTCAGTGCAAATATTTTGTATTCAAAGCAATTATACGAATAGAGCCAGCAGAAAAGGATCACGGAGCAGACATCTCCAATGTATAGAGGGAGGTAGCTGACTATCATAACTTGAATCATATAAATTATGATGATTCCTTTACGGAAAATCATATTTGCAACTGTGTCGAAGAATGAGATTTTAGCTAGCTTCACTTTTACCTCTCTTTTTCTGTTGGATATCTCATAAGCTTCGTCAAAGATGTCCTGAATCCAAAATAACGAAAGAACCATGGATAAGACATAGAGAGGGAATATCCAGAATAAGTAGTATAGTGGCAGTAGAAGAGAGCTGAAGTATCCTTGTAGAAGAGTAGACCCTAAGAACAAAAGTCCGTTTACTCCAAGACATTGGGCACATCTGAGCCTGATAATGGGTGATTCTACACTAGTTAGCAAGCATATAGAGTTAACTCACCTGTGATGTATCTGGGATTAATCCTGACACTATCAAGGACTCCTCAGAGGAAGGAATTGAAGGTGAAATCTAAGGACATCTTTAAAATTGTATTTTATCAATCTTATAATTATAGAGTGGGGTTTTGGGGTTTTGGGGTTTTGGGGTTTTGGGGTTTTGGGG